TCCTTTCAACCCACCACTACATGCCCCCTTCCCAACTCATTTTTCTTCATTCTGACCCCTGACCTATCTGAAGTTCTATTGAGTCGTCTTATCTACAAGTTCAAGAGTTCCCAGCGATATGATTTAAAGGATTCTGTATTGTCTCCGGCGTCCTGCTTTGAGATGTTTCGCAACAGCCAGTTCACATTTGTATACGATTTTTGTCCTTCTCAGCCTAAACTGCAAAATGGCAGTGACAGATTTCTGATTTTTACCCCAACTTTTTATCCGAACGTGGAAATCAAAAGAGTTTGCGTATGCATGTGTATGTGTGTGAGAAAGGGGGGGGGGTAAGCAATTGACATGTGGAAACATTTTTTTTTAACTTTGAAAATGTGACTTCTTCTTAAGCTCACTCTTTGTTATGAGCTGTTTTCACTGTTATTAAACATGGATATAGGCCAAGAAAGCACTGAGCGTGGCGATTCGCTTTCCCAGCGCTGGCAAACTGCGTCAAGTTATTCCTGTCTTAACAAAGCAGAAGACAAGATTTATAAGAGAGTCATAGTCCCCGATTCGATCCTTCCGACTAGCTAAATCAATGTGCACCGATGTTAAGACGAGGTGCCAATCTGTGTGTGGTCTTGTAGCTCGCCACCACAAGTGTAGTGATCCCATAGTGAACGACTTACCGGCACTGTATCAACACGGGCTGATAAACTCGTGATCTGTTTGCTGTGACTTATCTTGTTGTTGTTGCTGTTGTTGTTGTTTTTGTTGTTGTTTTTTGCTATTGTTGTTGGTGGTAGTGGCGTTTTCTTTTTGTTAATTGTTGTTGTTGTTGTTTTGTTGATAATGACGTTGCTGTTGCTGTTGCTGCTGTTCTTGTTCTTATTGTTCTTTTGCTGTTGTCGTTGTTGTTATTGTTGTTGTTGTTCTTCTTCTTCTTCTTCTTCTTCTTTTTTTTTTCTTCTTCTTCTTCTTCTTCTTCTTCTTCTTCTTCTTCTTCTTCTTCTTCTTCTTCTTCTTCT